TTTTTTTTTTTTTTTTTTTTTTCCTGCCACACAGAAAAAGTATTTATAAAATATTCCTATGGGCTTTTATTTTGGAAGTGCCTGAGTTGTCACATGCCCCTTATCTTGTGTTACCCCAGGACCTATAGGTGGAGTTGGATCTATTAAGGTCTCTAGAGCTGGAATTCACATCAGGATTTTTTGGACTTGGAGCGTTAGTTGTTTGACAGATGCATGTGAAGTCTGCTTGAGGCTGATGTAGCAGCACTCTGCCTAAACGGGAAGTACTGAGCATGATAATGGCTATTTTCTGAAACGTAGTTGTTACAAATCCAGTTTTGTATGTTCTTGTGTGGTAACTGTTTTGGAGTGGGCCCTGGGAACTTGCCCACAGGGCTTTTCCTCATACAAATGTGCATCCTTTGCAACTGCCTAACTACCAGGGAACAGGGCTCTTGCAAAACTCCTGCTGATCGTTATCGTGAGGATTTTTGCTGAAAGAGAAATGAAAACATATCAGGAGGCACTGCTTCACAGCCAGGGTGGCTAGGATCTGGAACTAACTTCCAAGGGAAGTGGTGCTTGCTTCTACCCTGGGGGTCTTCAAAAGGAGGCTAGACAGCCACCTAGCTAAGGTCATTTGACCCCAGTACGCTTTCCTGCCCATGGCAGGGGTTTGGACTTGATGATCTGCTCAGGTCCCTTCCGACCCTACAACTATGAAACATAGTTACTGCCTGGAGGAGCCACCTTCTCTGGGTGCTCCCAAACAGCCTGGTAAACCCCTCTGCTGGAAAGCAGGGAGAGGAGGAAGTGAGTTGTTGCTTGGGTTAAACTGCTCCCTCTGCGTCGGGTTCACAGCTCTTGACATGGAGGCTGCTTCCTTCATTTCAGTCCTAAGACCAACAGTGCCCTCTGAGCAATACATACACACCACAGTGTTGTCTTGAATGCAGATATCTGGCTTTCTGATGTTCTCTTGCAAAGTGGCTGGCTTGTGGCCTCCCACCCATTCATGCTAACATAGCATGAGAAGTTTTCAGTCACTTTGCAAGAGAACATCAGAAAGCCAGATATCTGCATTCAAGACAACACTGTGGTGTGTATGTATTGCTCAGAGGGCACTGTTGGTCTTAGGACTGAAATGAAGGAAGCAGCCTCCATG